GGGTTTTAGGGGTGGCTCACACAAAGTACATAAACAGTGCATTATTGCTACATTAAGCTGACACAGTTCATGAACAAATATTTTACAGTAATTATCCATTCCAAATTATGTTTGGCATAACTCTTTCTACCTCATTCCTCCCTGTTGTTACATCAAACAGAATCTTCATTGATTTGAACAGGACAAACATAATGGGTCTTTGCTCACATTAGCATTTGATATATGTTGCACCCAGTGAGAAAGAACCAACCAGAGACTGATATTAAATCCACACAGGAGTTTATTACTGGCTGGGACCCGAGCTGAGCATTGGACTCCAGCCTTGACTGGGGGGAGACAAACATGTCTTATACACCTTTGAGGCCAGCAGTTTCTAGGCCTCCCTATGGGATAGAACTAGTAAAGCAAACAAAAGGTACAGAAGCAGACCGTCCTGCTGTTAGAACATTTGTAAAACAATAGTTGATTAATTGTTACTTCTAAAGAGACTTTCTAAAGGGAGGAGGTTTTTAAGCTTCCTCCTCTGAGTTCATCTAAAGGGCAGCCAGGTGGGTCAAGAAGCAATATGGAGCCTGTCTTGCTAATGAGGGTCCTTCATTCCCCCTGGTTCTTGTAACTTAATCAAATCTTTGATTCCTGTATTTACTCTTTGAATTTTTTTTAAAAACATCTTTCAAAACCTCATAATTTTGTCTCAGCACCATCAGTTTAACTGCATCAACCCTCTGTCTAACATATTTAGTGAAAGCATTTATAATGCAAGGTCTCATGAGCAAAAGCAGAAGTAAGATAACTAAGGGGCCTGTTACAACAGAAAGTAGGGTAGTTAACCATTAGCATAGAAGCAACAGGTTTTTCTTTTTTTAGGGCTACACATAACCCTTTTTGTTTCATGAACAGGAGGTCAAGTCCCCTTTGATTTGTAGGACCATCTCAGCTAGGGAATCAACCTGGTTTTTTAATCTGCAGATCAAGTCTTTCAGGTGACCCAAATCTCTGGCTACTTGGTGGGTTAGGGCTTTAAAATTTGTGTCCTGAAGGATCAGGGAGGAAGTTCCAATAGCCACTGACCCAGCTATTCCTAATCCCACCAGAATGTGCACTAAAATGGGGGCAGCCCATTTACTCCTGTAGTGTTCAGTGGTTAATCCAGGGTGTTCATGGCCCCCCTTTTTATTACAATACAAGACTTGTGGAACAACATACACGGTGACACAAAATAAAGTGGCAGATTGGGTAGCCAAGAATGATTTGGGAATGTATTTAGTCAAGTCCTCGGTGCAAGCAAATGAAGGATATCAGGACCAGGTCTCCTGGCTTAAAACTGTGGGGCTGGAATGTTGCAAGGCATTTTTTTCTCAAGCCTGTTGTATTGTAGCCTGGATCTCACTCTGAAGAATCTGCAAGGCTTGAAGAGATGGAAGAGACACAAAAACTCTCTGTTATGTGTTCAAGCTTTAACTTAGGGAGGAGTGGTGGTGGCCTCCCATACAAGATTTTAAAAGGGGTAAACTTGTCACATATGCAGTACATCTAACTCTTAACAAGGCTAGAGGAAGCAGATTGGGTCACCTACCGCCAGTTTCTAGAACATATTTAGTCAGGGTTTCTTTCAGGGTTCTATCCTTTTCACTTGCCCTGAACTTTGTAGGCGATAGGCACAGTGTAACTTCCAATCGATATGTTGTGCCCTTGCCAACAATTTGGATATGTGTGTCGTGAAGGCAGGCCCATTGTTGGACCCCAGGTAACGAGGGATGCCAAATCGGGGAACTATCTCCTGGAACAAAACCTTAGTTACTATGTTGGCTGATTCTCCACGAGTGGGGAAAGCTTCTACCCAACCTGAGTAGGTGTCAGCCAATACCAGTAAATATTTGAACCTCTTGTTGGATTTTCTTTAGGTGAAATCAAGTTCCCAGTGTTCCCCTGGCTCTCTTCCCCGCAGTCGATTACCTTTGCTCCTTGGTCTCGCCTTGGAGTTTACCTGTGCACACACCTGACACCTGGAACTGATGTCCTGGACCATAGAGGTCAGTCCTGGGACTGAAAACTTAGAGCTCATTAGTCTTTTTAACTTTGATTCTCCCAGGTGAGTTAAGTGATGGAACTGATGAACAAGTTGTCGCCCCAGGGCTCAGGGGAGACAATTTGTTCGTTTGTCCCTTTCCACCAGCCTGAGTCCAGTTTTGTACCCCCTCACTTTTGGTTTTATTCTTTTTTTTATTCCAGGGTATATGTGGGTCTTTCCGGCAGGCAGCCAAAGGGTCAGATGGGCACAGTGTCTATCGGCCTCACTGGTTCTCTGGCCGCTCCTTGGGCTGCATCATCGGGCTCTCGGTTGCCGCAGGCCTCCAAGCTGTCTCCTTTCTGGTGGCTTTTACAATGAATAATGGCCAATGCCCTGGGTTCCCAGATTCCCTCCAATAAGGCCAGAATTTGTTCTTTATTTTTGATAGTTTTCCCTTCTGTGTTAATAGCCCTCTCTGTCTGTAGATGTCGCCATGCACATGGGCAGTGGCGAATGCACACCGGCTGTCAGTGCGGATGTCTACAGCCTTGTCTCGACCTAACCTCAGGGCTTGAGTTAAAGCTATTAGTTCAGCCCTCTGTGCCGATGCCCCCCAGTTTAATGCCTGTGCTCAGTGGACCTGTCCTCCTGGACTGACTACAGCCCCCCCCCATACCTGACTCAGTCTTCCATGAAGCTGTTTTCATCAGTGAAGAAGGTCTCATCCTGGGCTTTGCAGGGGAACATCAGTCAGATCTGGGCAGTTGGTGGTGGACGTTGTCAGAGTGTCCAGACAGTCATGGAGGGGCATGCGTACGAGTCGGAGTCCGGGAGTAAGGTGGCTGGATTGAGGGTCATTTCTCTGGTGAATTTGATGCATGGAGCATCCAGCAACAGGGCCTGGTACTGAGTCAGGCAGGTGTTGGAGTGCCATCATTCTGGGGCTCCTCTCAGCAACGTCTCCACCGCATGGGGTGCGGTGATGACCAGGTCTTGTCCCAGGCTGAGCTTATCTGCCTTCTGGACCAGGAGGGTGGTGGCTGCAACTGCCCTCAAACAGGTAGACCATCCACTTGCCACAGGATCAAGTCTTTTAGACAGGTAGGCCACAGGTCTGTTTCAAGGCCCTAATGCCTGAGCTAGCACTCCTTTGGCTATGCCCCCTCATTCAGCCACAAACAACCAAAAGGGCTTGGTGACATCAGGTAGGGCCAGGGCTGGTGCTGACACTAAGGCTTTCTTTAAAGCCAAAAAGGCACTTTCTCCTTTTCTGTCCAGAGGGACTGTCTCTTGTGCCTAGAGTGGAGCAGTTGTGACTTTCCCCAGTTTTTTGGCTAGGACTTCCTTGGGGGCGTCATGGTTATCATAAACTTTCTGGGCTATGTTCAGGAGTTTAGTCCTATTCTTTCCGTCAAATCCCTCCAATTTCTGTAATTTTTTTCCCCTAATATCTGTGGCCAACTGGGAAACAAAGGCCAAATTTAAAGCTGCTGCATTTTTGAGTGCCTCTGGGTCAATAGAAGTGAAAACTCTATAGGCTTCCAAGAGTCTCTCTAAAAACGCAGCCGGAGACTCTGTTTTTCCCTGGTGAACCTCACTTACCTTACTCAAATTAGTGGGCTTTCTGGCTGCTTCCTGGAATCCCCCTAATAAGTGCTGGTAGTAGGACCCCAGCCTCCTCCTACTGTCATCATCATTGGGGTACCATTCAGGGTGCTGTGATAGAACCATCACCTAAGCCCTGGCCGAATGCCCCACAGTTCCCAGAGTGATGCTGGGGTTTGGCCCCAGGGCCTCTTTGACTGCCTGTTGATAAATGCAATCCTACTCCTCAGTGGTGAACAGGATCTGTAAAAGCTGCTGGTAATCATCCCAGGTTGGCTGATGGGTATGAAAAACAGTCTTAAGAAGAGATTAATGCCTGAAGTTTTTCAGAGAAGGGGGGACTTTGATGTTTCCAATTGTAAAGATCACCAGTTGTGAAAGGGACATAAATCAATCCTCCCCCAGGCTCTGTCTGCTTTAAAGGAAAAAGGGAAGAGGAAGATGGGGCTGATGGACCGTAGTCCTGTCCCAATTGAGTGCCAAAGGTCGATCGGGACCTGTGGGGCGCTGACTCCCGTGACCACATTCCAAACCTTGGGAGCAATGTGCATGGAATAAGTTCCCACTGGGGGCCAACCGACTCCAAAACTGGGCCATTCTAGTTGACACAGGGTTTGTAAATTGCCTTTAGAAAATTTCATGCCATATTCATCTTCCCTGTCTGTGGAATAAATTTTTTCAAAGTTATTCAAAACACAATCAAGTGGAGTTCCTTCTGTGCACTGTGAGGAACCCATAATTTTAGCCTGTGAAAATGCAAAAGGCACACAGAGGAAGCAGAGAGACAGACAATAAACAGACAAAAACAAACTTTGGCCAAGTAAACCTCTGGGGCCGAATGGATTCAGACCCCACCCAGGGAGTTGCTCTTCTGAGGACTCTGACCCAGTGAGTCTGCTTGCTGTCATGAAGAGACTGTAGGTAGGGGAACTTGTGCCACATCCAGCTTCCTCCTACCTACCCACAGTGCACTAAGAATCATTTGATTCTTACCTCTAGAGGCTTTCCCAATAAACTCGTGCAGGTCAGTTGATCGATGATAAGGCCCAACTGGGACCGGCCTACCCTGAGCCCTGGAAAACGTCAGGGTGGCCTAGCCCTGGAATACCATCAGGGTGGCCTCTCCTTCTGCAGACCAGTGTCCAGAGGGGCCAAACACCACTGATGTCCAATCCTGGTCTCTCCTAAAAAGAAACAGTGGCTCCAAGATAATAAGCTCAAAAGCGACTGGGTATCTCACTGGTGCCTCCAAGTATGTTGCACCCAGTGAGAAAGAACCAACCAGAGACCGATATTAAATCCACACAGGAGTTTACTACTGGCCGGGACCCGAGCTGAGCATCGGACTCCAGCCTCGACTTGGGGGAGACAAACATGTTTTATACACCTTTGAGGCCAGCAGTTTCTAGGCCTCCCTATGGGATAGAACTAGTAAAGCAAGCAAAAGGTACGGAAGCAGACCGTCCTGCTGTTAGAACATTTGTAAAACAATAGTTGATTGTTATTTCTAAAGAGACTTTCTAAAGGGAGGAGGTTTTTAAATTTCCTCCTTCTGAGTTCATCTAAAGGGCAGGCAGGTGGGTCAAGCAGCAATATGGAGCCTGTCTTGCTAAGGAGGGTCCTTCAATATGATTGTGTGGAATGGATTCTTTCCAGTATAAATTTGGACATCTAATTAACTAAACATGGTCCTACAGTCACCAGGAGTATTATCACCATTTTGGGTCCCATCAGAACCCCTAACCATGCTTTTCATCTAGAGAACTGCCAACTCCACAAGGGGTTGGTATCCTAGGAACCATACTTAGTTTCCATCCACTTTAACCTTTCTTTCAGTTGGGTCATGGATTCCCTGACTACTCCTGACTGATTTGCACAATAAGAACATTCTTCCCCTGGGTAAAGACAAGTTCCCCCATACTTAGCAGTCAGCAAATCAAATCAAGGCTTCTTCTATTCTGCAGCACTATGTCTGCCAATGAGTCAATCTGTCCTTGTAGAGTGAGGAGAGGGTTGAGGCTCGTACTTCATCTGACCCTTTTTGAATGTCTTGGCCTAATGAAAGGTATTGTTGCTGTCCCAGCCCGAGTGCTGTGCCACTGATTATCAGGCTCCCTGCTATAGCCAGTCCTGCTAGGAGAGGGAGAACAATAGGATCCCTTTTTCTTCTATTTAGTCCTCCTGTGAGGGACCCTATTTGGACAGGAACTTATCCTATGGCACTGGGGGAGTATACATTTAGGTCTGGGATAAGTATATTTATAGCACAATTATCTTGTACTTTGGGGGAGAAGACTCAATATAAGCCATCCTTACACACAAAAAAGGCTCCTGCTGGAGCACTGAGGTTGGAGTGAGTCCCATGGATATTGACACAGTTTTGGGGGAGGTTCCGTAAGGCAGAAACCTTAAACACACATGAGTTATTTCCTATCACTTCAGGGGGTTCACTAAGTAGTCGAACTGCTGGTTCATCCATATGGTTTAGGATTCCCTGTAGGGTCAGCCCCAAAGCATGATAGGTGAGCTGATGGAGGGGTGCACAGATCCAGCAGTCAGATGCCAGATCTCGGTCAGTAGCCAGAAGCAATCTGTGGGTGCTGTTTATAGTCTGCACCATATCTATCCCTGTGTAATTGGCCACACTGGACCTAATCTTTTTTATCTCTTTGATTATTGGCCTTTCCCTGACTGTTGGCCGAACTGTGGTCCAGACCTTTTTGACTAGTGCATCCCAATGAGTGTCCTGGTCATTGCTACTTATCTTAGTACTTGAGCCAGGCACCAAATGGTAGAGTTGGGCCTTAACAGTTTGTCTTTTCAGCCATCTGGGACTCCATGGGTCAGGTAAAACTACTTTAAGTGGGCTATACTCTGCTTTTTTACAAGTATGGCAATTTGGGGATTGTGTGTTCTCTCCCATTTGCCTTTGTCCTTGGAACTTTATAGCCATTATTGCTTGCCCTTTTACCTCATTGTATAGTATTGTTGTTTTCTACTATGTACTCCACAATCTATCACTCCCAGCCACCTGTAGTGCTGGCGTGGGCATCCATCAAATGTAATGGGCAGGGGATGCCCTTTGGGTTTTTTTTTTTTTTTTGGTACCGGAGATCAAACTCGGGTCCTTGCACTTGTGCAGCAGGCAGCAAAACCACTGAGCTAAATCCCTGCCCCCCTTTGGGTTTTTTTTCATTACCTTAATTAGATTGGTTTGAGCATCAAACTGAATCTTTAGGCTTGTATATATTTAGTGTAAAGTCCCAATGTCCCACATTTATCTTAAACATATAAGAACCCAGAAAAGTGAGATGATATACCATTATGTGGTAGCAAGCCAGCATTTTTGGCAAGTGCTCCAGTCTTTTGGGGCACTGGCACCCAAAGCAATGTCAAAGAGGAACACAGTTAGAACTAAACACACAACAACAATAGTGTGTAGGAAATTCCCAGACAACAAGGCAGCACAACTGTTCATGAGTCTTTTAGCCATACATCAGCCTGTCAGCAGGGCTTTTGAGAGCATTGTCTGCTTTAATTTCTTCAGCTGTGCATTGACCTGTCAGCTTCTGGAGTGACAGGAGCAGGACTTTGAGAGCACAGTCCCAGCAGGGTCACCTTTAGTGGGTTTGCTGGATCCGGCCGTCACAGGCAGGAGTCTCCTGGATGAAATTCCTTGATTCTTGAATGATGGAGCCAAGGCTCGATTTCTGCAACTTTTACTGCTGTGGGAGTGGTCATAACAATAACATAAGGCCCTTTCCAAACTGGGGTGAGGGAGTCTCTTTTCCAGTCTTTCATATAAATTTGGTCCCCTGGCTCAAATGAATGAGCAGGAGTGTCTGGGGATGTTATCCCTTTCCTCATAATATTTGTGAAGCTGATGAAAAAACCTGTCCTAAGGCTTCGAGCTGTTAGTTAAGCATTAGGCTCCCTACTTCTTGTGTATTGCCTCTAAGGCTTTTAATCAATGGTGGTGGCCTTCCGAACAGGATCTCATATGGGGAGAATTTTCCTTTGCTAGGCATGTTCCTGATTTTCATCAAGGTGAAAGGTAAGAGATCTACCCAAGGGGCTGGATCTCTAAGCAATACTTGATGAGAGCTAACTTTATGCTTCTGTTCATCCTTTCTACTTTCCCTGAACCTTGTGGACGGTAGGTGGCATGCAAGTTCCATTTTATCTTTAGCAACTTAGCCAATTTCTGGACTATTTCTGCTATAAAGGCTGGACCATTATCACTGCCAATGGTTAGAGGGAGTTTATATCTTGGAATGATTTCTCTTAGGAGGACCCTGCACACTTCTTGGGCCCTTTCTGTCCTAGTAGAGAAAGCTTCACCCCACCCTGAGTAGGCACAGACTAAGACTAATAGATATTGGTAGGCTTTGCATGTCTTCACTTCTGTGAAGTCTATGTGTATGTCTTCGAAAGGAGTGCTTCCAATGTGTTGGATTCTGGGCGCTGGCCGAGGCTTTTAGCTTGGCTCTACTCTAGCACTGGTGCTGCATCTTTGGCAGACAAGGGCACAAATTGTGGAGAGTTGAGGAATGTAATAGTGTTCCTGAAGGAGTTCATTTAGAGCAGTTTTTCCTGCATGTGTGAAATCGTGATGTCTCTTGACCCACGCATAGGCTAGTCCCCTTAGAATGACTACCTGTCCATCAAGGAGCACCCAGTGGTTGTATTCTCCTTTCTAGGCTTTCTGACTCTGTACCCATTCATCTTCTTTGTCTGAGCAGTGCAAGTCAGTCTTTTTGGATTCTTCTTGGGTGTTCTGTAGGTTTCCTATAAGTTTTGTGCTGGAGTCAGCCACCTTTTTGGCTGCCTCATCTGCCTTCGAGTTCCCAAGAGTAACAGAATCTTTCACTTTCTGATGGCCTCTGCAATGTATGACAGCTACCTTCAGAGGTTCCCAAACTGCATCAAGGAGCTGCAGGATTTCTTCTTTATTTTTAACCTGTTTTTCTTCTGCCAGGAGCAATCCTCTCTCTGTACAGCATGTCATGGACATCTATAGTGGCAAAAGCATATCTGGTATCAGTATATATATATTGATTTTCTTCCCTTTTGACCATTTGAGTGCCTGAATCAATGCCCATAGTTTGGCCCTTTGTGCTGACCATCCAGCTGGAAGAGGTCCGGCTAGGAGCACCTCTTGGGTGGTTACTACTACATATCCAGAGCAGTGGATTCCCTCCCTAACTGAGCTACTTCCGTCCGTAAAAGGCATCAATCAGGGGAGTCTTCTGAAGGTCTAGTCAGCTACCACCGGCTTCATCAACAGTCATCAGGCAGTCGTAGTCAGGTGGACCCATTTCAGAGGGCATGTAAGTTGCAGGATTCAGAGCTTTTACAGCCACGATGGTCAGGCAAGGATTTTCACATAACAGTGCCTGATACTGAGTGATGGGGCTATTGGAGAGCCAATTCTGGCCTTTACTATTTAATTATTCCATTACTGAATGAGAAGTATACACTGTGTTTGCCCTAAAGTCCGCCTGTCAGCTTTTTTTTTATTATTAATATGACTGCACCAGCCACAGCTCATAAACAGGGAGGCCATCCTCTTGCCACAAGGTCTAAAGCTTTGAGAGGTAAGCAACAGGTCTTTCCCAGGGGCCCATCTTCTGAGTTAAGACCCCCAAGGCGATATAGTTTTTCTCATCTAAAAACAAGTTGAAGGATCTGGTGATATCTGGGATGCCAAGTGCAGGAGTTTCACTCAAAGCCTTTTTCAGTCCTCTGAAGGACGAATCTTGTTCAGTGTTCCATTCTAAGTTGGAGTGATCCTTTTCCTTGCCTTTCAGGATTTCATATAGTGGCTTTGCTTTCTCCACGAATCCCGGAACCCAGATTCTGCAGAATCCTGCTGTCCCGAGGAATTCTTGGAGCTTCTTTTTGGTTGTGGGTCTTGGCAGAGAACAAATGACTTCATTTCTCTCTGGACCTAGCCTCCTCTGTCCTTTCTCTAAGTCAAATCCCAAATATCACACTTTGGTCTGACAGATTTGTGCTTTTTCCCATGAGACTTTATATCCCACATCTTGCAGGAACTTGAGGAGGGCCTTGGTCCCTTCCCAATTTGGATAGTGTGTTTGAAAAATAGAGGTCAGGAGTTTAGTCATCACCTCTGGCTTCTCTGAGTAGGAAGAAGTGTGATTCTTCCAATTCAGCAAATCAGTGGAGCTAAAAGGCTGATGTATGAGGACGGAGGTGCCTCCTGCTGGATTGGGATACTCTGAGGGGCATCTGGAGATGCATGGAACAGAGGTGGTGAGCCACTGGACTAGTGGGGTCCACATCTGTGGCAGGTGCAGGTTTAGGATCTTGGAGCAGCTGGGTTGAATCGGGCGAGGCTGGGGCAGGCACCAATGTTGCTGAGACTGGCACTGAATCCACAGGAGTCCTGGGAATGGCTGGGGCAGTTGGGTATGGAAGGGGAAAGTCTGAATCTTCTCAGTCCAAGTCTGAAAGGAGCAGTTTATTTCCGGAATTGTCCTCTGCCTGACCGAGGAGCAAGATAGTCTTTTTTCCTTCCAGGGTGCACATATGAAGCCAAGGAGGCATTCCGTGGCACAATTTGAGCCATGAATCAACATAGAGATATCAATCTGGATGTTCCCGTCCAGAGGCGGTGACTGCTAGCCAGATGGACCAGACAAGACCCCCATCTAGGGATCTCTGATGGCCAAGCTGGGCAAAGCTGGGACCATTCTAACTCACAAAAGTTTCTAAGTTTTGGGGGTTTCATCTTAATATAATAATCACCAGTAAAACCTTTCTTAAAATTCTTAAGCATGCATTCTAAAACAGTAGGATGAGATATTCCTGGCCCCATGATTGGCTGATCAGAGTGTTGGTGCGTGTATGGGTACCCTTGTACAGAGACACAAGACAAAGGAGGGTGACCATCAGAGATGATCCACACAGGCACCAGTCTGGCTGCATGACCAGCGCTTTCAGGACCTTCCAGGCATAAGGATATATTTACCTCATTGCAAGAGCACCCACTTAGCCCTTCGAGAGAACAGAACTCCCCCCCCCCCAAGCAGAGGGAGATGCATCCACAGAATCACAGATCAGGCCCAATCACTTCCGTAACCTCAGGGGGATATTTAAGCACAGAGTGGCCCCCTTTTAGTAGCAGACACAGACAGAACAGCCTATGGCTTACGCTGTCCGTTCACACTCAGTCTCACATTCACGCACAGTCATTCAGAGGTTAAACATTCCCGCCTGCCTGGGATGGCCCTAATTCAGTTTTCATGAAGTGAAGGCAAAGCAAATGGGACTCCAAAAAGCCCCTACCAAATGGGAATTCAATATTCCCACACAAGGGGTGATCAGGCCCTTCTTCTGACTTACGTCAGGATAAGCAAATTGAATCTCCGCCTTTTCCCAGGGTGGACTACCGTGTCCAAAGTCAGGCGTTCCTGCATCTCCTGTCTCTTATTCCAGGTCTGGTCAAGCCTCTGTTGACAAGGTTGGCATTACAAATCCTTGAGGGGACTGAGAAAATTCTCCCAGGGGCGCCCTTCCCCTCAGAGGAGTCGGAAGGCCGAACTCACTCCTGCAGGGTTCGAGCCATTGGCCAAGTGGCCAGAAGATTATCTCGAAATCCCGGATGAGCCCCCACATGTTGCAGCAAATTGGGAGTCAAAATGATCTTCCAGAGACAGAAGAGTTGGGTAAAATAAAAAAGAAGTTTATTGCCAGGCCATGGCCAGCCTCAGGAAACGAGTCCTTATAGATGGACCTCGAGCTAAGACAGCTTCTCCTTTTTATACCTTGCTCATAGCCTACAGGGCGGCCTGAATTGTTGTCATACAGAATGTAGCAAGGATGTGGTAAAGCCGCATTAGGCGAGTTTCCATGGTTTCAAGGTTGGGGGCTTACATTAACAAATTTCAAGGCTGGTTTCTAATCTTTCTGGGAACAGCCTGCCCCACAAGAAGGAGAAGGCCCACCCGGAGTTTCCAAACAGGGACAAGTTGGCACAGACGGGGTTTTAGGGGTGGCTCACACAAAGTACATAAACAGTGCATTATTGCTACATTAAGCTGACACAGTTCATGAACAAATATTTTACAGTAATTATCCATTCCAAGTTATGTTTGGCATAACTCTTTCTACCTCAGTGTCAGCTGGTGGCCAAGATAACCAAATATTCCTGTAGGGGCAAAAACCTTCAACCCTCTTCACTTCAGTCAAACCAGAGATTTCTCAGACAGACAGAGGAGGCAGGGAGGAGCAGTCCCTGAGGGCAGCAGCTGGTTGGAGGGGGCGAGCACTGGGGGTCAGGCTGCGAACTTGGAGGGCCACAGCCTGGCTGTGTCACCACACCGCACTCATTCTTTGCTCAGGACAAACGCAGAGAGGGCTCCCAGCCAGTCTGAGTCGCTCTGTGAAGGGGGCAGCTGGCTGGATCTGAGCGGAGCTGGGGGCTGGAAGTGCTGAAAAGAGTTGCCCACCATCCAGCCTTACACCTCCAGGGGGGCTCAGGCCCCAAGTGGACCCATGATGACCCTGCCTTTCCAACTTGGCCTCATTTACAAGTACACACACACACACACACACACACACACACACACTACGGATCTTAGCCACTGTGCCTATTCCCAGATGGTTTAAAACTCTCCCTGTGAAGGTCGAGTCTCACAGTCACCAGGAGAAGCCTCATGGGCCCTAAGCACTCCCCACATTCTAGGAAAACAAAAGAGAACGCACCCCAGGCCTCTGCCCTCCCTGTGTCCTGCAGGGCAGACTTTGATCCTGGCAGTGGCTACCTCTAGCTTTGCCCCCTGGAACCTCCCAAATGTGCCACCCTTTCTGAGTCAGCCTTGCCTACAGTGTGTTTTGCTTGTTGTCCAATAAAGAGCTTGTTACCAACCACTGCTTTCTTTTCTTTGGTACCGGGGATCGAACTCAGGACCTTGTACTTTGCGAGGCAGGTGACGGAACCACTGAGCTAAATCCCAGGCCCATCCGCTGCTTTCTTACTCAGCCCCCTTCTGTGGTGCAAATCTCCTGGGGAATATCCAGGAGCTGAGACACCAACATAACCCAGCCCAGATTGACCCCAAAATTGTGGCAACAAAACTTGACCCCTAGTCAGCCGCGGACTAGCGCGGGGAGCTGGGGTCCGAGCTAGGAGCACAGGGACAGCGAGTTTCCCTGCTCCACCGGGGCCCTTGGAGGCCCGAGCACCGGCTTCCTTCCCTCCCCTGCCCTGCGCTCCCGCCTGGGGTCTCGGGCGGGGGCGGAGGGCAGGGACAGCGGAGGAGGTGAAAGCGGAGTGAGGGACGCGCCGGGCTCTGACGTCTGCACGCTGCCGGCGTCTGCACTCTGCCAGCGGGCTGCACTCCGGCCCCCGCGAAGGCGAGCTGGGCGGTGGCGAGAGCTAGGTGCAGCTGGCAGCATCCTGGAGTCCGGGCGCGCTCCCCTCTCCCGCCCCCTCCCTCCCGGCTCCGACTCCTCCGAGCCTCCGTTCCTCCCGCTCCTACTTATCCTGCGCCTGGGCCCAGCAAGGTGATGGATGTGGACACACTGTACTAGGCCCTGAACATAGAACTTTTGGATCCATAAACTATCCGCAGACCCGTCCCAACAGCGCCATTTGCAAATGGGAGATCCGTGTCAAGATGGGAGAATGAATTCGCATCAAATTGGGCGACGATGACATTCAAGATACTGATTCTTGTCACTTTAGTTACTTGAAAATGTGTAATGGAATTGGACCCGGCAGAACAGAAATAGATGTTATCCTCAGTCCTTCCAGAACTGACTGTTGTGTATAACACGTGACTTAGATAGAGTCAGAGTGTCAAGGTAAATACTGTGGTCTGGGGTTAAAAGTGAACCATTCAATTGAATCAAAAAGCAATGAAATTACAGTGATGTTCATGAGTGGAGACTGTTGTGCCCAGATCGCATATTCCCAAAGACCACCAGGAAGCCAATCCCGATGTAAGCACACGAGGGTCGTTTATTCAAGCTCGAGCAGGGACTCACAACTGTCACCGACGCAGCGGATCAGAATTGAGAGCCCCGAATTTCAAAGTAGCAGGGTTTTTATTGTGGTTACAGCAAGGTTTGGGGATTTTCCACTTAGCAGTTACATGATTGGTTGACATTTAGCAAGCATGAAGTGTACATTTCTGATTGGCTAGGTTCATGGCGGGGGTTGAGGGGTGGTTACATGTAGGTTTTACGAGGGAAATGAGGGACAAAGGTTAGTGGTCGACTGTCACGTACTGATGGTCAGCAGACACACTGACTATTAGTCACGACCATTACGTACTGACAGTCAGCACATCTACAGATTGTTCTATGGATAGGGGGCCCGGAACGTTCTTTTCCTAGGCACACAGATGGTTGAGTAATTAACTTAGGAACTTTGCTTCGGTACAGATTGTGTCTTTTGTCCCAGAGCAGGCACATTTTAACCATTAATTTGTGAGAGACTAGGGGAGTGGTGCATTTTAGCAAAATGGAGTTGCTTTGGTCTCACAGAGACCATTACTCTGGACGAGGATTTTTTTGATGCATACTCAGTTATAAATAAACAAGATCTAATTACTTGTTTGGATACTGTATCCAACTTTTTGGAACCTGAGTTCAGTAAGTACTGCCCACCTGGTTGTCTCCTTCCTTTTGCTGAGATATCTGGAACAATTCCTCATGGATACAGAGATTCCTCACCATTATCTGTGGCTGGTATACATGCAGGAGTAGTGTCGGATGTGTTGGGTGGCCAAATCAGTGCTGTAATTAGTAAAGGCATCCCATACTATGAAAGTTCTTTGGCCAACAATGTCACATCTGTGGTGTTACACTTATCTGCAAGTCTTTTTACATTTAAGATAAGTGGTTGTTTTGGAACACTGGGAATGGAATCTGGCGTGATTGCTGACCCTCAGATAACAGCATCATCAGTACTGGAGTGGACTGACCACACAGGGCAGAAGAACAGTTGGAAACCTGAAAAGTTCAGACTGAAAAAAACCTAGACCTGGGGCTGGGGATTTAGCTCAGTGGTTCTGCCGCCTGCCACGAAAGGGGAAGGACCCGAGTTCAATCCCCGATACCAAAAAAAACCAAACCTGGACCTCCTTGGGCTTCATGGGCCACTGATAAAAATCAGTGGTTACAAATAGATCTGAATAAGGAAAAGAAGATAACAGGCATTATCACCACTGGATCCACCATGGTAGAGCACAATTATTATGTATCTGCTTACAGAATTCAGTACAGTGATGATGGGTGGAATTGGACTGCGTACAGTGAGAGGAGGACAGAGCCATACAAGATATTTCAAGGAAACAAAGATTACCACCAGGATGTGCATAATAACTTTTTGCCACCTATTATTGCACGTTTTATTAGAGTGATCCCTATGCAATGGCAGCAGAAAATTGCCATGCAAGTGGAACTGCTCAGATGTCAGTTTATTCCTAAAGGTCATCCTCCAAAACTTAACCTCCACCTCCTTGGAAGAACAATGACCTCAAAATCACCGCAGCCCCTCCCAAAGTAGCCAGAGGTCATGCCCCAAAATTTATTCAGCCATTACAACCCCGCAGTAGTAATGAATTTCCTGCAAAGACAGACCAAACAACTGTCACTCCTGATATTAAAAACACGACCATACCTCCAAATGTAACCAATGATGTAGCATTGGCTGCTGTTCTTGTCCCTGTGCTGGTCATGGTCCTCACTACTCTTATCCTAATATTAGTATGTGCTTGGCATTGGAGAAACAGAAAGAAGAAAACTGAAGGCACCTATGACTTACCTACCTGGGACCGGACAGGTTGGTGGAAAGGAATGAAGCAGTTTCTCCCTGCCGAATCAGTGGAATGTGAGGAAACCCCAGTTCGCTACAGCAGTAGTGAAGTTAATCATTTAAATCTGAGAGAAGTCACCACAGTGCTACAAACTGACTCTGCAGAGTATGCACAACCGCCTGTGGGAGGAATTGTGGGTACACTTCATCAGAGATCTACCTTTAAACCAGAAGAAAGAAAAGAAGCAGGCTATGCAGACCTAGATCTTTACAACTCTCCAGTGCAGGAAGTTTATCATGCTCCCAACCACTGGGCCTGAATATGCAACCCCAATTGTCATGGGCATGTCAGGACACCCCACAGCCTCAGTTGGTCTGCCCTCTACATCCACTTTCAAAGCTACAGGGAACCAGCCTCCCCCTGTAGTGGGAACTTACAATACACTTCTCTCCAGGACTGACAGCTGCTCCTCAGCCCAGGGCCAGTATGATACCCCTGAAGGTGGGAAGCCAGCTGCCCCAGAAGAATTGGTGTACCAGGTGCCACAGAGCACACAGGAAGTATCAGAAGCAAGAGGGGATGGGGAGTGTGAGGTTTTTAAAAGAAATCCTTTGAGGATGATGCTGCTTTTTACAAAGCATCAATGTAAAGCACATGGCCTTTTAAAAAAATTATTAGCCCCAGGGATTTAGCTCAGTGGTTTGGTCGCCTGCCTTGCAAGCACAGGGACCTGAGTTGGATCCCTGGTACCAAAAAAACAAAAACAAAAAAACTTATTAGTGTTATAATATATAGAATGTATTACATATCTGTCACTGAAGTGGTTGAGAAAATGTGGCCAAAGTACAGAAAACTACTTATCTTGCCATCTTGCTTTAAAGGTGTTACTGTTGCAGTTACTGCTTGCCTGTTAAATTCTCGACAATTTGTTTATTACTACTGTAAAACACTGTTTTTAATACAGAAAAAGATCCCTATAATGCACTTCAAAGAAACTGAAAATCACTGAGTATTCATTACCAAAGCTGCAGGTACATTAATGAACTCAAATTGGTTCTATAAGCCTGACGGGCAATAATGCATGGTACTGTTCTTGAAATATCTAATGGCTTGAAATTTTCCTTTTGTGAAAGGTGGGTGCTGTTATGTTTTCCCCCTTTTCTATTCCTATATTGTATCCTGGATTTTTAAAAAATGATGATACAGCATTGTTTTGATTGTAGCCAGTCACACTTCTCTGTCTTAGGAAGATTGGTGGCTAGGAAGCTGACTTGTAATAACGTGGGTGACCAACTTGTCACTTGCGGGCACTCTTAAAGAGCTTTAACACTTCATGGCACAGGACCTGGTCTCCTCCGTGCTTATTCTACTTGAGGCGCTTTGTGACTGGCTCCATTTTTGTTTTATCAGTCTCATGAAATGAGATCCTCTGATGTCTTTAAGTATACATCTCTATGTGGAAACAGGAGAGAAACAATTTAAAATTTGGAAAAGCTGTAAAGAAGATTCCCTCTGCACTCAGAAGTAATATAAATTTCCTTGAAAACCAAAAAAAGTGGCCAGAGTTGTCCTCTTTGGTTTTTCACACACACAACTTCTCGAGTCTCAAGGTGTGTTATTTTAGTCAAATAATTTTAATTTGTTTTCCTCAGTAAAACTATTATAAGAAAAAGAAATCCAATGTATATCCTTCAGTTCGATGTGCTTGAGCCTTTTGTGTATAGTAAGAGTTGTGAGTTGTTAGTAGTCCTTTGTGTCATACCTACAGAATAGATGTGATAGCATCCTAGCAAATGAAATTGATACCTCCCAGCAATGCTTAGTCACCATTTGTTCATGAGCTGCCCAGAACTTGTTTTAGATGGGGTGAATAAAAAGTCATATGTAATGTAATTTATTAGCCTATAGTACAAAAACCACGTCTAAACATCTTTCTCTCCTTTTTTTCGGGGGGTTCCAGGGATCGAACTCGGGTCCTTCTGCTTGCAAGGCAGGCTGCTGAACCACTGAGCTAAATCCCAGCTGGGCCCCCATGTCTAAACATCTTTAGACTGGCAAGACAACATAAGTTCACTGTGGGATAAAAATATATAAATTTGACATCCCTTCTTCCATGAATATTAGTTGGTAGACTTGATGTAAAAAATGTACTTAAAATTTTTTTCATTAGTACATGTGTGCAGTACATAATGTTTACATTCCTTGTGTGGAGTTGATTCAGGTACATATGAAAAAATCAAATTAAAAGTAAAGACTAAGGGCTGGTAATTTAGCTCAGTGGTTTCGCCACCTGCCGCGCAAGCGCTAGGACCTGAGTTCGATCCCCAGTACCAAAAAAATAAAATAAAATAAAAATAAAGAGTAAAATAAAAGATAATAGTAAGGAAATAGAGCTTTCTATTTCCCATTAGGTTCTAGTCATTTCTTCTGACTTAATGCCACCAGATTATTTTGTTGCCAGAATTTACTAAATTTGAATAAAGATGAACAGTATTTATTTTGGAGGAATCCATAAGTACACCAGTACTGTATTCTGGAAACTGCATAAAAAAGAGAATTATCTCTGCAGCTTCCCAGCTTTCTCTGATATTTTGTTGGTTTTATTAACATTTGCTTTTCCTTTTTCAAACTTTGAGGGACATTTCAATCATTGAAAAATCAATGCATATTTTGTTTCAAGATATTTGAAACAAAAAGCACAACTGCTAAACTTCTGTTAAATCATAATGAATGTGTAACGCACATGTATTAATGCAGCTATGTCCTTTCAGGTGGGAATGGAGTAAACCAGTTGCTTTATTGTTTTTATTCATCACAGAAAATATACTTCTTCCCAAGTCATGTACCGGTTTAAAGCTTTAAGAGAGACGTTTCCAATACCTTTCATTTTCCCAAAGAAACTTACTATTTTGTGTAATTGTGTGACCTAATTGCTTTTCCTGGGAGCTTGGTTTCTTTTTTTATGAGGAAATCTTCTGGAATGATGAATATTTTAACATTTGATTCATATTTTTCCCCATTAAGTTTATTGGTGCATTTTAGGTATAAAATACAGTTACATTCATCACTGGGATCTTGTACCATTACATGAG